AAAAAAAAAAAAAAAAAAAAAAAAAAAAAAAAAAAAAAAAAAAAAAAAAAAAAAAAAAAAAAAAAAAAAAAAAAAGTAAATAGAGATAAAGAATGAACTACGAAACGAATCAATTAAGTACAATTGATCCATGAGAAATAAAAATCAACGGAAATTCTGCGTTCATGATCGTCAACTACATCGACAAGCATTCGTTCCATCTAGTTTCGAATATTGATTGTTCAGAAAGAAAAAAAAAAAAGTCCAATTAAATTTCCACCAGCATTTTCTAAGAACCAAGAACAGAGAGATAGAGGGGGAGATTACAATGAATAGAACAGGATCGGGAGTTTTCGCCCTAACAGCAGCATTGACCGCTTCCTCGATTTTCCGGGAGAGCATGTACTTGTCCAGATACTCTTGAACGGACATTTGTTTCAGCTGCTTCTTCTCCATGGAAAATTGGTGGAGAAAAATCCAGAGGTTGGATCTTGCAAGACGGAGTGAAGTTATGAAGCTTGCTAGCCGAGCTCTGTTCGTGTGTTGCCGCCGAACGTCTAGTAACGAGACTTTGGGTTAAACTATGGAAATCTTCACAACATCGCACGGTGCCGTTCCACTGGAAGCCTGCCCCAACTCCTATATATATTTCAAATACGTCCTTCAACTTTAACCAATTTAAAAATTATACCCTCAACAATACCCCAACACTAAAGCCTAAATATTATATTCAACTCAAAAATTAATAATATTAATTTTTTACACTTTAAAAAAAATATTTAATAAATTATTAATTTTTTAAGAGTTAAATATATTATTTTTTAATTAAAAATTAATTCAACTCTTTTACATTAATAATTTTATCAATTTAATTCGACTATGACATCATGCAGCATAGGTCAAGAGTGTAATTTTTTAATTTTAAATATATTTTTAAATTTTGTTTCTCACCATAATTTATACTAAAAAACATTTAAACATTGAATAATATTTAATAAGCAAAAATATCTATTAAAAATATTTAAACATTTTAATAAATTGAATAATATTTATTTTAATATTAAAATATAGTATTTCACCCAATATATATAATTATATTTATATATAAAAAGTGAATCTCGAAGCGTATCAGCCGTTAAGGTCATCACGGCAATTGCTGTATTACCACAAACGCCGTCAGCAGGTAAAAACGGAGCGTGGCTTCCCTTTCCCACGGCACTGTTTAGGGCTTAAGAGTCAATCTTGTTTGTTTATTTACCGCCATAGCTTTTCTCTTTCTAAGTTCCTTCCACATTCCCGGTACACTTGCTTCGCCAAGTGTCAAGGAGCTTGATCTCATTTGTAGCTAATCTTGAATCAGTTTTCTGTTAATTTTTCTAGAAATTCTCCCCGTCCGATTTGATAACTTGCCCGCCGATAAAAAACCCCAATCTTTTCTTCTTGATGAACTTTAATTTACGGCTTCAGCTGCGCCGATGATGCTTGGAAGCGGTTCTTGAATCTGAAAGCTTGTATTTTCTCATCGGGTACGAAATGAGTGCGTTTGAAATTTGTGCACGACTTCGTTGTTTGATTTCTGATCAGGCCTTCTCATTTTCTTGGATTCGTTTGCCGTCACTCAAGGGTTTTAATGTTGTCAATCTCTGTTCTTCTACGGTGGATACTATTGGAGTTCATTTTGGAAGCTTGTGGTTTAAGTGACTTTCATTCTCATTTATCATACGCGGCTATAATTTGTTTCAATCTTCTGCGTTTGTTCTTTCCATTTCGTTGTTGCGTTTCTCAAGGTTGTACAATGAATTCCACTGATATCTCACGGATACTTTGAAATCAGGTGGAGAGGATTTATGTGGTTGGATTTGCAGCAGAAGGTTAACTTTCATTATGGGGTTTGACAGCGAGTGTATATTGAACATTCAGTCTCTTGCTGGGGAGTATTTCTGTCCTGTCTGTCGCTTGCTTGTTTACCCACATGAAGCATTGCAGTCACAGTGCACTCACTTGTATTGCAAGCCTTGTTTAACTTATGTAGTTTGCACTACCAGGGCTTGCCCATATGATGGCTACTTGGTTACAGAAGCGGATTCTAAGGTTATATCTCTTATTTCTGTGGTTATGAACTCTAGTGCTTGTGTTACATCTATCTCTACTTATGCCTATAATTTCACTATTTCTTGCAGCCACTCGTTGAATCAAATAAAACTCTTGCTGATACTATTGGAAAAATAGCTGTTCATTGCTTGTATCACAGGAGTGGGTGCACTTGGCAAGGGCCATTGTCTGATTGTGTAACTCATTGTTCTGGATGTGCCTTTGGCAATTCCCCTGTTTTATGCAATCGTTGTGGAATTCAACTTGTACACCGGCAAGTACAGGAGCACGCACAAACTTGTCCAGTGAGTTAAATTTTGCTTTCATTGTAAGTTTCCATTCAGTGTTGAGAAAAAAAGATCGAAATATATAGTTCTTACTTTTGTTTTTTTATTTTTGTGTATTTTGTTGAATGGCAGGGTGTGCAACCTCAAGCACAAGCAGACGGTGCTCAAGGCACCACAGCCAGTGGCACGGAAGCTGCTACTGATCAAGGCCAGTCTGCTGAAATGACAAAATCTCACGTCCAATCTTCACGGAGTGTAGCAGTTAGTGCACCTGCACAGGATCCCAATCAGCATGCCAACACAAGTTCCCAGGGTCCAGCTGTTGTTCAAGCTGCTACGCCGACTTCAGACCAGTGGTATCAACAGCAACAACAGTATCAGCAATATTATCAGCAGTATCCTGGATATGATCCTTATCAGCAGCAATACCAGAACTATTCCCCTTACCAGCAGCAGACAGATGTTCCGTTTCAGCAGCCACAGTCATCTCAGGCTCTTCCTTCACACGCGGCAGCCCAGCAACAACCTCAGGCGCACATCCAGCCCCAGCCCCAGCCCCAGCCCCAGCCCCAGCCTCAACCCCAGCCTCAATCACAACCCCAAGTTCCTGTCCATTCCCAATCCCAACCCCAACCTCAGGCTCAATCCCAGCCTCAATCTCTACCACAACCTCAACCCCTTCCTCAGCCACATGGTCCGTCTCAATCACATATGCACGTCCAAATGCCGGCAGTTGGTCCATTTCAGAACCAGGGACATGTTAACCCTCAGCAGCAACTATATCATGCTGCAACCCCACATTCTCAGATCCAACCGCAGAGTCACCCACCAGCACATGGCCAAGCACAACCTCAACCTCAGTCATACCCCCAACCTCAACCCAGTTCGCAGCAACTTGTGCATATGCCACCACATCAGCAGCCTCATTCCCAGATGCCACCACATCAGTGTCCTCCTTTCCATCCGCCACTCCATCCTGTTTCTCGGCTACCACCCCATTCACAAGCCCCAGCTCAACACCATTCTCAGCTTCCTAATTCACAAACTAATCAATCTCTACCAATGACGCCTAATGCACTACCCCAAATGCAGAATCCAACGTATACTGCAACAGACTATCATTCTTATCCCCAGCTACAGTATCACCAACAAATGCAGATGGGAGTTCCTCAAAATGTTCTTCTGCCATATGCCCAAGGTGGGGCTCGTCAACAATCCCAACCACCAGTTCATATGTATTCCCATTTACCACAACCACCTCCTGTGCGCCCATCCCAACCTCCTCTATACCAAAATCAGCAACCGCCACAAATATTGCCTTTACCCAATCAGGTTCGAAATATTTCTCTAGCACAAAAACTACACATACCATCCCGGATGCAAGTTGTCCATCAACACCAGCATTCTGGACAGCAAGCACAGTTTATACAGCATCAGCTGCATATGACACCCCAAATGCGTCCAATGAGGCATTTAGTGCCTAACCAAGGAGTACGATCTATGCCTTATTCACAATCTATGGTTGGTGTTCCAGTGAGGCCAATACAGTCTGCTGCTAACCAACCAACTATAAAGCAGGGACATACATTTGGTAATAATAGTAGTCAGTCGCAGTTGCAAGATGTTTTTGGTGAACACAAATTGGAAAAAAGCCTTGATGGACGAGAGAGTGGTTTATCGTCTCAAAAGGATGCCAAAACAGCTGCAAATCATTTGGACGTGTCATCTAATTCGGGGGCAGTTGCTGATGAGTTGACTGAACAATCTGAAGCTAATTTGAAGGTGCCCGATGATAAAAGTAGACATACTATTGGGTATAAATCTATTCAGGCTGACACATCCACTGAAAGTACTACACAAAATGGGGCAATGGACTCTAATTTGCATGTAGGTGACAACGGTAAGACCAAGCACGTTGAGGGAAAGGTTGAGGCAATAGAAAGTAGTTTTGATCATTTGAGCAATGATAAGTTGGGAGAAGTTAGTATTCAGGACCAGAAAGATCTTAGCATTGAGCCTAAGAAAACGGAGGTTCTTGTTAACGAGAATAAAGAAAATCAAGAAGGTTTCCTTCAGAAGATTTCACCACCAAACACTGAGTTATGTGAAGAACAAAGTAACAGGATACATAATGACATTAGTGGGACTCTACACCCCTCTTCTGGTGCAGACGAGGGATCACAAGCTATCCTTGGTAGTCCTGACGATTCAAAATCGAAACTATTGATTCAACATACCTATCAGGATACGTCTCAAACTGGGGGTACTCAAATTGGCGCAACACAACCTTCTCACACAACTTCCCTAGTTTGCTATCCAAGACATCAGACTCTACCGAGTAATTGTGTGTCATCTGCACTTCAACTAGGTGTGACAGGAACTTTGTTACAGGCACCTCCTCCAAGACCCTATCATCAGGCACAAGTCTCAAATAATCTGTCCATGCAAGTTAGGCCACAGGCTCCTGGCTTGGTGGCTCATCCTGGACAACCATTTAAACCATCTGAACCGTTTCTTCCAGGTTGCATTCTAGAACCTGGTTCTGCTCCATCTCTTGGTAGAGGGCCAAGTCTCTATGGTCCTCAGCAAACTCTGGAGCGATCTATTGGTCCCCAAGCATCCTATAATCTAAGCCAACCACCTTCTTCGCTAGGGGTTTCAAAGATGTCACTAGGCGATTCTATTGGAGCACACTTCCGTTCAAACCTTCCTGGGGCTTTTGATTCAAGGGGACTACTGTATGCTCCTGAATCTCAAATTGGCGTTCAACGCCCCATTCATCCTTCGGAGGCTGAGATATTTTCAAATCAAAGGCCAAGACCTGATTCCCATTTTCCTGGGACCATGGAACACCATCCACCGCATCTCCCAGGGATTCCTCCTAATGTGTTGACTTCTAATGGTTCCCCAGGTCCTGACTCCTCTTCCAAACATGGCTTGAGGGATGAAAGGTTCAAAAAGCTGATGCATAAGGAACAGTTGAATCCCTTCCCATTGGATATAGGTCGGCGTGCTATTAATCAAATAGATGTTGAAGATGTTCCCAGGCAATTCCCTAGGCCTTCTCATTTGGATTCTGATCTTGCTCAGAGAACGGAAAGTTACTCTTTGAGACCTTTTGACAGGGGAGTGCTCGGGAAAAATTATGATACTGATTTAACCATTGATGGTGGTGCTGCTTCAAGAATCTTGCCTCCTCGTCATATGAGTGATGCATTACATCCTACAGATACTGAGAGATCGTTTGGTTTTTATAAAGATTCTATTGGACAAGCAGATCAATCTCGTGGCCATTCTGATTTTCCTATACCAGGGGGTTATAGTCTGCATTTTGCAGATGGATTTGGTCCAAGAAGTCCTCTTCATGAATATCATAGACGTGGGTTTGGAGGCCATCTTGGGTTTTCGGGTGTGGAGGAAATTGATGGTCAGGACTTTCCTCCTCGTTTTGGTGATCCGTCTAGGTTTCCTATTTTTCGTAACCATCTGCAAGGAGGTGAATTTGAGGGTCCTGGAAATTTTAGGATGAGTGAACATGTGAGAATTGGTGATGTGATTGGACAAGATAGACATTTTGGTCCTCGAAACTTGGCTAGGCATTTACGTTTGGGTGAGCCTACTCCTTTTGGTTCACATCCTGGTCACTCTCGAATAGAAGATCGGTCTCTTCTTGGCAACTTTGATCCATTTGGTGGAGGGCATAGGCCCAATCATCGACGACTTGGCGAGCCTGGGTTTAGAAGCAGTTTTTCTCATCAGGCGCTTGCAGATGATGGTAGATTTTTTGCAGTTAAGTTTCATTGTTCAAATTTATATGTAAATATTATTTCTTCCTGCATTTCTATTTCTATCCCTTGTTTTCTGAAAATGAAAATCTTCAGGGAGACATTGATTCTTTTGATGACTCAAGGAAGAGGAAACGAAACAGTATGGGATGGTGTAGGATTTGTAAATTTGATTGTGAAACAGTTGAAGGCTTGGAGCTCCATTCACAAACTAGGGAGCACCAAAAGATGGCTATGGATGTGGTGCAGAGCATCAAACAAAATGCAAAGAAACATAGAGTGTAAATATGACATCCTATTGTAATAATTGCTGCTGTCTTATTCCTTTAAGTTTTAAGTTAATTATAATTTTATGTATTTTAACTTTCTGGTAGAACTCCAAATGATCGTTCCTCTGAAGATGGCAAAACAAAGAATGTTGGTCTTGAGAACCGTGGGAAAAAGCATTAAATTTGCAGCTCTTCTCATCAGACTCATGGATTCCGTTTTACTGGAGCCAATTTTGTTTCCTTGGTATTATTGCATCTAGTGATATAGGTGATTCCCTTATGCCTCTTTTCTTCATTTGGGTGGTTTATTCTAGTTTTGTTATTTCAGGTTGCTGCCATATACAAAGATGGTTTTTGGGGATGAAGTTCTGTGGCAGTTAAGTTTCTTGGTTTTGTCTCTTGATTATAATATTTGGCTCTGACATGGTTCATGTAGACATCAACAGTATGTAGTAGAAGTTTGGTATATGGCTATCACTTCATTGTGTTCATTGTTATGTTTACATGTTCTTTTCATCTTCCGACATTTAAATGCCATTTCATCTGAAACCGCAATGTTCCTTTAATCAACATCATCGCAAACATATTTTTTTTTTCTCACTTTAATTTTGCTTTCGGTGTTGAAACTGAATAAAGTCGTCTCCTAACCAAAATAAATAAATAAAAAAAAAATAAATAAATAAAAAAAATAAAAGAAACTAGATTACGTTCTGTCCTTGTGGGTCCTTGGCATTAGGGTAAGTGATTCTTGTTGTCTGGAAAAGAGTCCTAAATAAGACTGTTCTGATACAACTCTTCATGTCCTGCATACCAGGAATGCCTTGTTCAAACCAAATTTTCATTAGTAAAGTGTTTTTGATAATCTTCTTTTGTTCAGTTTTCCCCTTTTTCCTACCTTTTGTTCAATATTTGGGATGTCTTTTCATTGTTAGTTTAAAATGGTGGAAAGAAGAACTGGGGAGTCTAACAGCTGAGGTGTCTTTCTTCATAAGCTGAGGTGTCTTTTATGTCTTTCTTCATACAAGAAGAGGCATCTTTGAGGTTGGTTAACCTGAGGAGTGTATAGGGCTATTTACAAATTGCCAAGTCCATGAATAAAGATTGAGCTTATTGTAAAGCATGCTTCTAAACTGTGTAACGTGTATCATTTTAACCATTTTTCTTTTGTTTACTTATTTAATTATAGGGTGTATGGGTTTCTTATCCAAAATAATTGAATTATAGGGGGTATGACCAGTTTTAAGTTTAGAGGAGAGACATGTTCTCAATGAGGATAAATATAACACACTAATTTGTTTTGGAAGTACGAGCATTCGCCCTTGGCCCTGTAGACATTTGCACTACTGTGTTTTGGTGGATTAGAGCTGACATCGGAGTGTGGTATGAATGGATTAAATTACATCAAAAGGAATTTCTGTGAGAGTTACATATTTAGAAAATTTAGAAGCTGATGTTGTTCATACTGAAGGGATAAATGTAGGCAGATATCCAAGAAGAAGACATAGGTTTTCTTTCTTTCTTTCTTTCTTTTAAAAATAGAAATGATGTATTAGTCACAAAAAAGGATCAATCACTTTGGGGCCGAGTAGAGAAAACCACTAACCCAAGACTACAAAAGATTACAAAAGAAGAGCCTTCTAGTTATTAATGATCACATGAAAACTATTAGTACAAAATAATTTCTCAAGGCTAGAGCACCACCAAGGAGTCGTATGCTGTACACTAACTAGAAAAAGAATTCTACGAAGTTGACTTTTCTTAAAAAAAAAAACCTCTTGTTTCTTTTCTTCCAAATATGCCAAAGGAGGGCTATAACCATGCAATTCCAAGATCTTTGCTACGCTTTTGAAAAACGTACCTCCAAGAACACATATTATTGCCCTCTTTTCATTATCAAGGATAACATTTTTTAGGGAAAGAAAGATTCACATATATAATAAATTTAATCGAGTTATTCAAGATTGCACATGGAGAAAAGCTTGCTATAGGAAGTCTGTTAGTATTACAATACTTGTTGAAATTACTTGTTAGATACAATATTGTCTTCTTATGTATGTGAACTATAGCCGACAGTATTATGTCATAATTGGTGGTCGTAAAAGAAGAAAGGATATTATGACTTTTATGAGAATTGACCTACTTTAGTTTGTACTTGACCTACATGCCTCCGATTCACTTGTCCAATAGAAAGTAAAAACTGTTTTTTGTTTTTCCCTTAAGTACGGGATGGCTTTGTTTAAGATTTTATTGTTGAAATTCATTACCATTTCCAATTTTATGTTCCTAGTGAAGATCTGATCATTATTCCGTCACACTTATTTAAGCTTCCAAGGTCAATATTTAGAGTTGATTTTCTATTTTTTATTTTTTTGGTGATTTTTTTTTTTAATAATAGATCTTTCAATTTGACCTGTTTTCTGGGCGAAGCAGACTACCAAAATTCTGAAAGTTCAGTGGCAAGGTTTATCAAGTCATCTTTGTTCGAGGTGGTAAGAATGTGTTTGATGAAAAGGTGCATTAGTTGCAAATCTCTTTGCTGCATTTTTATTTATTAATCTTAAACTGATATTAAAATTCTGCTTCTTGCACCATTGACGGTTTCTTCACATTGATGTCATTAACTTTAGGTTTCAGCCACAAGTTTTATCAAGTAGAGGAACCCGTGGAGCTTAGAAACTTATTTTGTTCTTCGTTGAGCATCATGTAATGCTGCCCCGTCTATAACTCTCAGCATACTGTTGTCAAAAGCTTGTGTTTTAACGCAATCAGTTTCTTTTAAATGCTTGATTTTGTGGCCAAGGAAACTGAAGTAAAGGAGCGAGGGAAGATAATCCTCCCAACTTAAAGCTGAAGGAGTTAACGGATAGTACATCAATAAAAGGGATGTTAGTTTACACAGGAGTCCTGGAAATGTACACCAGGAATAACATAAAAATATACACAGACTCCCCACATTTCTTCTGAATCCATAGCCTTATCCTAAAAAATTGTTTTGTTTCTGACTAAACAAGCCAAAAGACTGCATAGGTGTGACTTTACCATTAGATTGGAAAGACGATCATACACCAATTGCTCTTAGAGATATCCTAAGAACCAGCTGATTCATTCATTTCTGTATTTAATCTCAAGGAACAGAGAATCTATTGAATAATTTGTTTAGTGAAAAGCTACAACCAAAATCTATGTATTCCCTATAGGAGTTCACCAGAATTCTAGGATCTCTTCCCAGCTGCCATTCATTTTCCATAAAATAGCCTTCAATATTTTGTAGGCGTAGTCTTCGTTCTCCATGTTCGATATATTTTCTCTTCTTTTACCTCTTTGTTCTTCTGTTTCTGCTCCTCTGCTTCTGCTTTTCTCTGCTTTCATACAAAGTCTCACCCCTACTCCACTTCCCTCGCTCCTACTCCACTTGATTAGAGCACCAATGATTTGTTTCTGTAAAAATCACTTCTAAGTGTGCTTTGGCTTTTCTTAGAGGTGCTTTCAAATTGTAGTCAAACACAAACACTCAGGGTAGGATACGTTTTTAATGCTTACAAGTACCTTTTCCATGGTTAAAAGCAAAATGGACCCGATCCCCTATTCTCCAGCATTACTGTGTCTCTAAGCTCTTCATATTCCAAATTGGTTGGTTCCCTTTTGCCAAAAATTTACAAACACAAACACTTTCTGCCGCAAATTATTGTCAAATGCAAACACTTGAGGTAGGACGCTTTTATATACTTTTTTTTTAAAAAACTTTTTTGGTCAATGCTTTTAACCACTTAAAAGTACTTTTTACATGGTTGAAAGCACTTCAAATGAACCCTTCCTCATTCAAACGATCTTAACATTCTTTATTCAATTTATGATGCTTTGGACCAAACAAAGAAGTTTGTTACTAGAAGAAATCTCAGGAGGAAATTCAGGAATATAGTTCCTTGCTTTGCTGGAAGGTTTAATGTTTTCCTAGTAGTACAAGAAGTTAAAGAGTATTTCAGGTGTATTCTCGGTGCTTTCTTAGTCACTAAGTGCCTTCTCTTATGTTATCCAAGTCTTTCAGTAAGGTCTTGCTGGAAGTCTAGAATTCTGAAGAAGTTCGATGTGTTTATTTGGATCTTACTAAAGGGTGGCGTAGATAGAACTGAAAATTTATAAATGAAAGTGACTTTGCTTGCTTTACAAGCAGCTGTTGGTGCGCTGTTTATGAAAGTTGATAGATAGTATAGATCAGAATCGTATCATATTTTCATTGCTCGTAATTCCGGAAATGTGGCAGCACTTATGTAATTGTTTTCAAGTTTCTGGGGTGTTTGACAAATGTTCACTAAACAAAATCTTGCGACCTCTCATAGAGAAGTTAAGCTCACGAGTTGATTTGGGTGAACTCTTTTGAAGAAATTATTTTATAACTTTGGTTTGAAAGTAATCAAAGGATCCTCACAGAGAAATCTCTTGAATGGTTTGAATGATTTGTTGTAGCTAAACATAAATCCTCATTTTGGTCTAGTTGAGGGTTTGTTAGGTATCTGAATAAAACTCAGTTTCTTGTTTTTTGATTTACTGAACAGATGAATTCATTGAAATTCTGTTTGGTGGATTCATTTACGAAAACAATTTTTGGATTGTATTTGGATTATGAAACGCTGGAAGTGATAATTTGAAAACTATGTTGTGTGGAATGGAGGAGTCTACAGCCCTGGAAGTCATCTTGTGAAATGGGATTGGGCTTCTCTTCCAACTACCCTTTGAGGCCTTGGAGTGGGATCTCTTAATCAAAGAAACTCATCCCTGCTTATGAAATGACTGAACAAGTTGGGGTGGCTCTCGTGGAGAAGCTGAATTCTGCAGTTTGGTAAGGAGTAGGGCATATTTTGGTTGGTCTCTTGATAACTCAGGCAGGCATACTGCCAAATCGACCTTCTTAAACCTCTCTATTAGACCTTGAGAAGCTTGTATTCCATTGATCAGGTTGGTCGGGAAATTCAAAACTCCCAAGATGGTATGGGCCTTTCTTCGCTCTTTGGCTTATAGAAGCCTTAATAACAGATGACAAGATCCAAAGAAAATTTTCTTCTTGAGCCATCTCTCTGTCCATTTGTAGCCTTTGTTTTGAAGAGGAAGAGTCCATGGACCATCTGTTTTTACACTGCCCCTTTATGGCCAAAGCCTGGCATTTTATCTTCAGTAAAGTGGGGCTGCCCCTTTGCCTCCTTTTGAGAGTGGAAACTTGGCTCCTAGATGGTTTAAATGCACGGAGTCTGAGGGGTAAAGCTAAGATTTTATAGAACTGTACGATCAGGGCTCTTTTTTGTCGTATTTGGAAGGAAAGGAATGTTAGAACTTTCAGAGATAAGTTTTCAGCCTTGATTTTTTTTTTTTTTTTTTTTTTTTCTTTTTGTATCTTTGCATAGAATACAGCTTCGTGGTGGTATTCTTTACGTTCAATTTACATTCAAAATTGTTTTGTAATTACAAAATTTTGATGATTCTTGTCTAATTTCAAGGGTCTGAGGGCCTTTTCATCATCATTATTCAGCTGCTGATAGCGTGGAGTTGTGACTGATAATTATATTTCCTTAGCTTCCTTTGATTCAGTTACTTATTCAGCTATGTCTTAGTTTTTTGGTGACTAGAAATCTTTCAGCTGATAGTTGAACACAATTTTTAGAAGTGGGGGTTCTTCGCATCTTTGAGCCGTAGTCATGGTCAATGAATTATCCAATATAAAATATCTTACAAATGAAAGTTATATGGTAGGATTTTTGGACTTGGCTTTGAGCCTTAAGAGATATGAATGGAAGTTGAGAAATCCATAGGCATGAAAGAGGATTGTAATTAAGTGCTTCCTATTTCATAAACAGCTTTATTTTTGTCAAATCAAAACCATCGGCCTTGCTAACATTATTGTGGAGTAGGGGAAATTTTAAATGCTTTAACGTAGTCTACTGCTTAGAACAGAGTTAAAGGTTGCAATACTACTGCTATTTCCCCCGCTCAGTTGAACTGCCTACAAGAGACGCCTTCCCATTAAAAGAATAATCAAAGAAAGAGAATGGTTAGAGAAGAATTTATTAGGATTAGTATTGCACAACAATGCACACACTTGATCTAGATGAACACAAAGAATAGGATAGAGAAAATGCAAGAAAAATATTGGCTAAAGGATTTGTATTGATGACTTCAGGTATGTATAGTAAGAGAAAATACAGAAAGTACATTTTCAAAGCTCTATCGGAAGGATATATATATTATATATATAGTTCAGCTTACTATATATATAGTTTTACCAGGTATAACTATCTACTATATATAACTATCTAGCATGTATAGCTTTACCTTTTTAGTATACATATAGCTATTTACCATTTTAGTATACATATAGCTATTTACTATTTATGACAATTCATGTCATTTACCATATAGCTTTACTATGTATAACGATCATAACCTAACAAAATTTGCCGAAGCTAACGCTCCACCAAGAAGCATTAATTAAGCTATAGAAGAGACCATAAATTAGATAAAGAATTAGACTTGTTCTAAAAAATTCTCTTATTTCTTTCCAGAGCTTGCATATAAGTGTGGGTTTATTTCAAAGCAATCAAAACAAGAAGTCGAAGAACACCCAGTTTAGAGGTTTTTTTTTTCTTTTTTGAATAGAGCCTGTAGGAAAAATTATTAATGTGGGTTAGAGGGGTTTGAGTTACTAGTTTGGTCAAGAAAGGTCAATAGCTTTTAGATTGAAAGACGATAGTTTTTCCCTTTTAAGCTTTGTTTTTAGTTCAATAGAGACGAGGTGGATAATCGGCCCTTTAGTTTTAAGGAAAGAAATTAATGGGTGGTTTATCCATCAAGTTAGCTAGAAATGGTAGATTAGAGAGAGATGATTTGATTATTTGTATGATTATATGGTGTTTACTCTTTTTAACATATTTGGTTTTAAGGCATTAATAGGTGACTACTACAGAATTCTCTGCAACGTTTTGAATATCGACACAGCTCGGTTTCGGAGTTGCTTCACTCTCCTCTCTTTTTGTTGGTATGTATAATGTAAATATAATTCCTTAATGTGGCTGTAATGAATCAATAACCTTCCTTCTTTTTGTTGGTATGATTTATAGTGGCTCAATACTTGTTTAATTCAATTTTGTTTTCCTCTTAAAAATGGTGAGAATCTCTTCAATTACGTTATTTTTTCTTAGAATATCAATGGGTATAACAACTCAAATTTAAGGTGTATTTCCTGTTTTGTTTTTATTCCATTAGATATTAAGATGTTTAGGCTCGTTGGTCCTTTTGAATATTGTCAAAAATAGAATGATTTTAGTATGTTAATTATTGGATAAATTTTGGGACTCACGTTTTTATAGGCAGTTTGTCATTTATATTCACACTAAACTTGGTTTTAGGAATATGGGAAGAATGTTTCATTTATTTTAGTATGCTTTTACATTAAAAACCTATCCCTAGGCTTTATTTTTATTATTATTATTTGAATTAATAATTGTATTTAAGTCCTACAGTTATTTATTATTATTTTTTTTAGAAGTACATGGAGTTTTATAATAGTGGATGAAAAGTGTTAAAATTAAATGAATAGTGACAGTTTAACATGAATGTAGGACTCTGCCTTGTGAGACTCGTGACATAGACAAGACTAATCACAATGGTAGTGACCTATTAGACATACCATAACAACTGCCTGCGGTCTACTCTTGTATTAGCTAAGGGAAGTGCGCCCTAACTTTGAAACCCTAAACATAAAAAAAAAAATGCTATAAAAATATTTTAATATATATATAAATTGTGATATAATAATTTGTGCCAGTAGTAGATCTGGGTCGTTAAAAATAGTATTAGAGCTGAACATCGGATGATGTGTCAGCCTTTTCACTATTCCCCGGAAAGAGGGTAGACACGAGATGGTGTGCCAATAAAGACGCTGTCCCAAAGAGAGTAGATTTGGTGGCGGTCCCACATCGATTGGAGAAATGAATGAATGTTAGCAAGGACGCTAGGCCCTGAAAGAAGGGTGGATTGTGATGTCTCACATTGGTTGGGTAGGAGAACAAAACACCCTTTATAAGGGGGTAGAAACTAACTTAGTGTATTAAAACTTTGAGAAGAAACTCGAAAGAGAAAGCTCAAATATAAGAAGGATGTAGAAACTAACTTGGTGTTTTAAAAACTTTGAGAAGAAGCCCGAAAGGGAAAGCCCACATATAAGAAGGGGTAGAAACTAATTCAGTGTTTTAAAACCTTGAGAAGAAAGTCCGAAAAGGAAAGCCCAAATAAAAGGGGGTAAAAACCAACCTAGTATTTTAAAACCTTGAAAGAAAACCCGAAAGGAAAAAAACACAAGACAATATCTGATAGTTGTGGATCTGAGTCGTTACAAACACTATTCTCGAAAAATCATATGTATAATTCATAATCAATGATCCTTTCAATAATCATATTCTTAAAATTAAAATAAAACTTACTAATCTTATTCATATCCTAAACAATTTCCTAAGACCATGACACCAACAATTAAAAGTTGTTTTTAAGCCTGGCTTCTCAAAAGTTGTTCTTTATTTTTATTTTGTTATATATATATATATATGAATATATTAATTTATTTTAACGAGAGAAAAAAAAAAAATCTCTCCTATTTGATAAGTTGTAAAATCTACGGTATTTAATATTTAACCAAAAATCCCTGCGAGGGGAATCAGTTGAGAAGAAAGATTCATCAACTAAACTGACTCAAATAATCTGTAAACAATAATACAGATGGAGCAAAAAAGAAAGTTGCAAGCCCAACAAAGAAGGGGGGAAGGAAAGGTCCCACTCTATTTGATATTAATGTCTCCCACAGGCTTGGTGAGTTTGTGATCAAGAACAGCCTTGTCGAGTGTGTTCCTCACATGCTGGCACACCGCCATCAAGTTCTGACACGCATCTTTCAAAACCTCTCTTGCTGGATCACCTGCCATGTTCAGTTCAATCAACATTCAAAACCCATTTCTTCCATCACTACCACAAATAGTAATAAGCCCTGATCCTAATGCTACTGCTTAATGCATGGTCACTTCAACAAATAGTTTGCTGTTGCACCACCATTTACATGTGCTTTTGTGTTACCCCATTATTTAGCTTTTGCTAGTTTCAAACAGCAGAGCATTGGACATTGTTTTCCCACCTCCAATTTTGGGGAAGCACCATACATTCTGGATACCATCTTATCTGAGCCTCAAAAACATCTATCTAGGGTCCGAGTCAACTTGCATTCGCCTCAACTGATCTTATAGGATAGCGACCTAACCCCACTACCTTTGGTTGCTAAGGAAACTCGTAGAATGTTAAAATCTATGTAGGTGGCTACTTATTTCGATAGTTGTATCTATTTGGTTTTGATTATGCCATTAAAGCTTTGAGTTGCAATTCATTCTAAATAGTCATGCCTATCAACATTGCTAACTAAATAACAATGTGGCAAGCCCTATTAGATAAATCTTGGTTGATTTGACACATTGTAGAAAGAACTTGACAATTAAACAAAATAAAATGTATATTATTCTTTTTTAAACAACTTACCAAATCCCTTCTATAACATGTCACTTTACATTGTCTAGTATTCACTTCTACTATTTGTCATGGTATGTCGAATCAACAAATGTATGTTTAATAGGGCATTGTCACGCCGTATAGCTATTAGTGTTTGATGTATGAACTACATAGAATTTTTTTTCAAAATTTGGAAAAAACATTGAAACTCGAAACTAAATGCCAGTCCGTCCATCCAAAGTTCTAAGTACTTACATATTCTTTGTAAACCATATTAATAAAAAGAAAACAGGCAACACATGTTCTACAAAATAATCGATTTTATGGAAAGATTTTTCTCCCTAGTCGCACTCTGCATATATCCAGACTATTTATGTCATGAATTCATAAATTGCATGAGTAGAAAGAAGAAACCAAGCAAAATAAACAAATCTAACTATCAGAAAACTGTCCTAAATAATTGGAACTAATCTGTACTTATCCAGAATCAAAATACCTCAAAAAACTTACCTGTTGTTTGGACCCTGATGTTAACTCGATTATCTGAAGGATGAGGGATGCTGTAGCCACAGAATGTCACTCTTGGACTGCAAGATCATGTTATGAGTCATTTAAAAGTATAACAGATATGATTACTTAAAAAGCAACAATATAAATAACTTTTCTGAAAGGAAAAATAACAAACAATCTAAACCAGGTTTGTTTAAGGATAAAAAACTGTCGAGAGGATCGCCTGAACAGGTGAAAAAAGATGACAACAATATAAACAACTCTTCTGAATGAACGATGAAAGAACCTATATAAACACATGCAATGGGTGTACACAATTCATCAATTTATGCTCGATGAGTTAACCAAGAACCTAATTGATCCTTGATGTCATCAAATTAATAGAAGTCAATGATCTTTGGAAAAATGATGAAATGGTTAGATAAGATCAGAGGCCCAAGAACTACAAATTCTTTGGCATGTCTAGTTAACAGTTCAAATATTGACTCAAGAATAACTGGAAAAGAGCTCGTACTCTTGATTCAAAGTGTATCTGATGGAATTTGCAAGTGTGTGATCTTCATCAGCCATAGAAAATGTTGATTTACTCTCATCCGTGAAGGACCCGTGTTCCATGTCTATAAAGAAAAATTAGGTCAGAGTCTCAATTTAAAATTAAATAAACTAAATCAAAGAAAATAACTTAAGAAGTAAACTAAAAGTCCACGAAACCCATAAAAAATTGACAATATAGGAAAAAGGGCTAAAATTATCCAAACCAACAAAGCCAAGACGTTAAGACTTCTCTTCCACCAACTCCAAAGAAATGAAATTTCACTCTTCGAAAGTTTTATTATTAGTTTTGTTCCGATACCGACAAGTATCGGGACTAGCTTGCATACACCTCTACCAATCTTATCAAACAACTACTTGACCCTACAATATTTAGTTTAATCTTCGAGAGCCAACACAAGTGCAGGCACATGGCATTAGCTAGACGACTTTCGTGATTATTGACTACCCTTTTCAAGACATCATAGGTTCTTCACATATCTTTGCTCTAATCTATACTATAGATATAAAAGTGACTATAGGAGAGAAACTTTATCTCCCCCTCTTGCCCTTTTCATTTTTTCTTCATTTAAATTGTTCTTTTTTACGTTTTTAAATTGTTCTTTTTTAAGTTTTTCATTTATTTATCATTCTATAAAATGGTGTTAAAGAGATGAATTGTATACCTTTTGTCCATCGTTTTTTTTATTAAATAATAATTAAAATTATGAACTTATTGTGTTTTACTCATAATTCTTAAGGTGAGTTAACTGAAACAGATAAAATCCTATTAGACTTGTCAAACTATTTAACTTCATGATTCTCTCTATCTCTATATAAAAATTTCAAAGGCGAAGAACATAGCAAGGGACATAAGAAGGTAAAGTTACAAATAATGAATGAAGGAGCAACAGCAAGGAAAATTAGAGATTAGAAAGAGCATTGGAGTACAATGGCTACTGATTTAAGTTTATAATTGCAAACTAATTTGGTAAATTAATGTAGTTAACCAATTAGAAATTGTTCGGTCAATCATTCAAGCTATGAATTAAAGGAGAATTAGGTGACTGATTCACTGAATCAGTCACAGCCAACACAAAAACTACGTCTCAACTTGCCGCAGGGCTACTCTTCTCCATTGCTATTTGGCTATTTATTGTAAAAGAAACAAAACAGAAAAAAAAAAAACCAAACTACTTCCCATTCTTTCATTAGAAGATCCTAATTTGTGTTTATCAAATGAGAAAAAGTACATAGATGAAGATTGGGAGGATACCAGTAACAAAAGGAGAAGGGAATCGAATGAGACTGCGGCAGCACGAACGGAAGAATAGGACGGCGGCGGCACGAACGGAAGAATAAGACGGCGGCGGCACGAACGGAGGATTAAGGCGGCGGCGGAGGCGGCGCTCTGCTGAAGCGGAGGAGGAGACGACGTAAACAAAAAGAAGTCGCGTGTATCATAAACAAAAGGAGCTAGTTAGGGCTTTCCCTCTCTTTTATTTATTTTTATTTTATTAGTTAAATTAATTATAAAAAAAAAAATATATATATATATATATATATATATATATATTTATAAACTTTTAAAATTTTTTAAAATTTGAATTTAAATAAAATATCTTTAGTACTTCCTTAAAAATTTTAAATATATATAAGTTTAAAAATACTAACAATCATTTTAATTTTGTATTTTTTTTAATTATTTTTGGGATTTAATTAACAATTTAAATGTATGTTTGATAAATATTAAAAAATATGGATAAAAAAAATCTCAAATACATTCTCCTAGCACAGCCCAAACCCCAGTTTCACCTCTTAACTGTAAACCCTAACTCTGATAAACCTTGCTCCTCCACCTGGGCCTCCTCACCTCACCGCCGTCCGCCATCTTCCCCGCCGTATCGACTACAGCTCCGGTCTGCAAATTACGGTACGTGATCCTCACTTTCATTTTTACTTCAGCCATAGCATATACCGGCCGAAAATTTTTCACAATCAAAATCCAAAGAGAACCAGTAAAATTGGTTAGAACCTGATCGGTTTAGGTACATTGAAAACCGACCTGCTCGTTAATACTACACTAAAGTATATCTTTAAAACTAAAACCATAAAAGTATCTCGGAGTTTTGGGAAAAATCTTGTAATTGCATCGTCCCATGGATTTAGCAGCGGGGTTTTGCCTCCTCCATTAGTTACTGATTGGATTCGTCGAACCCGTTTCAAGACAGAGCTACAATCTTCAAATTTTGCATTAGTAACTCATTCGAAGTAAGTTTATTTGAATCATTTTTCGGTTTGTTACAGATAAATTGTCCCTGTTTTGGTGGGTAACGAATTTTTGGACTGTGATTTTGTTTGATTCAGAGTCTCAATGGCTTCTCCGACTGGTCCAACGGCTGTGGACAAGGAACAGGTTGGTTTCTGTTTCTTTTATTCGTTTTCTTTTCGTTTTTGCAAATTCATAGCTGAGGATAGGAATTCTATTGTTTGGATTGAGCATATTGAGCGTATCCTAGATCAAGAGTGGAATCTGTGTTCTTATTCTGCTGGGTTAATTGGACAAATAGAAGTTATGGCAGTAAGGAGTTCGAAAAAAAAACCATTAATTGAGTTAAAGTCTCTCATTAGGCAGCTGGTTTTCAAGCATTAATCTTTTATTTTCTGTTTTAATCTATCCTGTTCTGAACTCTGCCCATTTAGAGTGATGAATGTGTTAAGTTAGCTTTTGATGAATCTTTACCATGTAAATATTATCTAAATGTAGCTCATAAATTCTTGATTACCATCACAATTTAATTTTGATATTCTTTGCACTTGAGCAGATATTTGGTATGGCAGAAAAGGAGATGGAATATCGAGTTGAACTGTTCAACAAGTAGGTTTTATTACACTACTTATTCCACCTTTTTATATTCTAATAACTTCATTATGGCGCAAGATTCTATATATGTTTGTAATTGAAATATCTGAGATTCAAGCATCTACCTTCTTCACAGAATTTGACCTCTATGCCTTTCTCTTTTTGTCTTTCAGGCTTACACACTCATGTTTTAACAAATGTGTTGATAAGAGGTAGGAGGGTTGTACTACGCTTCTATCTTTGAATATTGCATATTTTCTAATCATAGAATTCAATTTCTTAAGTTGCAGTTTTGGCATTATGTAGTTAATTTTAGCTCATTCCTTTCATTTAACAATTGCTATCTATTTTAGGTACAAGGAATCTGAGCTGAATATGGGTGAAAATAGCTGCATTGATCGCTGTGTTTCCAAGTATTGGCATGTAAGTTGATCATTGCCTTCAATGCTCTGTATTTCTGTTAGTTTATGAGATATGGGTTGATCAAATAATACAGGAGCACTTGTATTCCATCTGATAAAAATTCAACTTATGTTCTGTTGTGCTCGAAAATTTGAAAGTACGAAAGCTTAAATTCATAAAGTTCGTTTTAAATCATGTCCTCGTTATTCACGTCTCAAAAGATCACATTTCAGTAAAACATTTGATTTTGGAAGGAAATTTAAATTAGTTCATAGTCTTTGGGGTAAGAAACACTTGGACTATTAGAGTGATTGGGAGATCTTTGGGTGAGGTGTGATCCCATGTTAGATATCATGTCTCCGGATTTCCATGTGTAAATTTTTTTAAAATTTACCCTTTGGCCATATTTTGCTTGACTGGAGCCCCTATTAGGTTAGTTGGGTTCTTCTTGAGTGTTTTTTTTTTCTATTCCCCATGCAGAAAAACATGTTTTTTGTTGACTTTGAGGCATGAATGTACATCGAATAAATTAAACAAGGCGTTCCCTGACTATGAGCCTGGATTTTGTACAGAGAGTTAAAGCACTCTCCCCTACATTCCAAACTACAGAAATTTCCTTCAGCTATGTTTGATATATTTCTAACTCTGTGACGAAACTCCTTTATAGATCAATTGGCTTGCATCTCATTCTGAATTGACATTTCGTGATTACAGTCCCATAGTCACAGAGAAACTGTGTAAAGCTTTCTATAATTACCCTCTAAGGCCTAATTTTTGTTGATTGGAGCTCCTTATGTTAATCGGGCTCTTCTTGTAGTGTTTTTTTCCCGGTATTCTCGTGTATTCTTTCATTTTATCTCAATGAAGACACGATTTAAAAAAATGATTAAGGTTCATAGTTTATGGGATTATTTATTTTCGACCGTCGCTCCTACAACTTAGAATGCTTCCTTCGACATACTCCCATAAATTTGTTCCTGCCTAACTTTTGACAATAATTGCTTCTTCGATTAGCCTATTTATGATAAAGGATGTCTGAACTTCATTGTATTTAGTTATGTTATTAATTCTCAGTTTGCTATGCTTTCAGGTAACCAATTTAATCGGCCAGCTACTTGGCTCTGGTAGACCTCCCATGTGACTTGCTTCCTGATCTGAGTATTTGTTTGGTGAGTTGGGAAGAACTTTGATCTATGCATTTTAGGTCTAATTAGTTCTCCATCTCACGAAATCACCTTTTTTTATGTTCAATAAAGCAGTGAAAATGGCGGATTCTAGGCAATTTTATAGTTTTCATTTCACCATTCACTACGATTTTTATTTTTTTAAAAGATATTAGCTTGGGTCTCTATTATACCCTTATATTTTCGTTGCTCAAGATCATAGTGGCTATAATTTGCCACTTAAATACCTTTCTTGCCAATTCTTTAGCCTTAGATTCTGAAAAGGATGGTTAAGTGAAGTTTAATTGTACTTTCCCACCTAAATATTTTGGTGTTTAGATTAACATTTAAATAATTGTATTGATGCTCTCTCTACCATATTCAAGCAATCAAACAATGTCGAAAATTTTAGTTGCAGAATATGAGAAATTTTAATTAAAGCTGTTTTTCAAAGGAGACTGAAGAAGTGATTTTAGATAAATCAATGAATTAATCAGCTTTACAGCGAAAAAAAAAATGGTTAAAATCCTCTCATAATTGCTTTTGACCCATTTAAAAGCAAAATCCCAAAAGATATATGTTCCCAATATCAGTGAATTTCCATACTGAAAGAAGAGACTGCACTTAAATCCTAGCAAAGAACAACACAGAGCCTATACTTGTACAGATGATGGCCATGAGTTCAAGATTCTATTTCTAAAGGCATCGCAGCTAGCTATCTTCAGTTGATGCCTTGTTTGTCGAAGTCATTGAGACATTCATCCCTATCTGAAGTTCTTCCCTGGCATGCGCACCCACCGTCTAATGTCTAAACGTAAAGAGAGCTAAATGAAAAGTCATTATTACCAGAGATACTCACAACTTTTGCATCTAAGCTCTATATCTTCAATGGGTTATTCCCACATAATTTCCATTCACAAGCCTCTGGAACTCTTCCTTGGAACTCAATGGAAGAAGCGATGGCGACATTATGCCAGAAGGCCTCTCTCGCAGCTCTGTAAATTGAAAATGTTAAAATGTTGCCCACATTGCAAGTAGTTTTACTAATTTTTTAAAAAAGTTTTGGAGGGATATGTTAAGAATCATGGATGGATCTCTATAATGATATCATATTGTCTTTAAGCAAAAGCTCTCATGACTTTGCTTTTGGGCTTCCTCAAAAAGTCTCGTACCAATAGAAATAGTATTTCTCACTTATAAACCTATGATCTTCCACTAAATTAACCAATGTGGGACTCACTCCCACTAATCTTCGGCAAAGAATTCAGTAATAAGAGAGGTTTTATAGTGCAAACCTGCCAGCTTTCTGTCAATAAAAAATGTAACCAAATTTACAGTATACCTGCAGGCAAGACAAAAGCGATAATATAATATTGATGGTTAAAATTGGATCATATCCTGCAAGTTCTATATAAAGCTGGTTCTTTGAGTTACCAAGCAACAACGACATCTACTGTATAATGCTTGCGAGACGCTAAGATGAGGATGCTCTGAATTACACAAAGAAGCCAAGCAGATATTTTGATAAATCTGCAAGGATAAGTAAGATTATGTTAAACCAGGTATATATTTTAAGGGTCAAATACAGAATTGTGATGGTAGTTAATACCTTGCCATTCCATATCTATGATATGTGCGTGTAAATACTAAAGAAAATATCATGTGGGATGAAAATATCAAGTCTCCACAGCCGTAATTGACCCCTTTTGAAACTGCACATTAATTTTAAAAAGATGAGCATGATTTTAAGGACCATTTGGAGGAGGCATATAGCAGAAGCAAAATGGCAGGCGCAAGTCATATGCGACAGACAGTTCATTAGCAGCACTTCAACTAATCTCTCTGGTGGAGGCATCTTTGCAAGTTTTGAACCCTGAAGCAGGCAGGATTGTTTCATTTTAGGATATTTGAAGTATATAGCTATCAAAGATTACGGCAGAAGCATCGAAGTATGAAAAGTATGAACTGATATTGTATATCACTTTATTTACCTCACGACAATGATAGTTGGGACCAGGAAGGTGAGTTGAGTAGAATGTGATTATCCTCAGGAACTGACAAGCCTTACAAAAGGTTATGGGCAAACAGAAACCCTGTTACTTATCAGGTATAAGCAGAAAACAAGATGGATAACGTCGTTCCATGGTTCAACATTCATAACAAAATGAAGACTTAATTTCGATCTAGACAAGAAAGTAGAACAAAATCAAAAGACGATTGTTTCATGAAAGAACAAGCAAAAAGACTAACGTATTAAGAAAATTCACTGACTAAAATGTTAACTACACCATCCCTTAATATATCTAAAGTTCCTAACCAGTCCACTTTATATCATAATTGACCATAAAACCCTTTATTGCAGCCTCTTAGACATAATGAGCGGAGCCAGAATCGATGAGGGAGAGAATTGACTCCAACCACCCATCTTGTTCTTCTGTAAATATTTCATACTTTAAAGATGTAAAAACTCATAGATTGTTGTTAGGAATCACGAACTTCCACAATGGTATGATATTGTCCACTTTGAACATAAGCTCTCATGACTTTACTTTTGGTTTCCCCGAAAGGTCTCGTACCAATGGAGATCCATTCCTTACTTATAAACCAGACATGACAGATGTCCAAGATGGACACGACTTCTTCACATGATCAACCCCTTAATTAGCCAATGTGAGACTCCGTCCCAACAATCTTCAACAATCCTCCCCTCGAACAAAGTACACCATAGAGCCTTCTCGGAGGCCTATGTAGCCCTTGAACAGTCTCCCCTTAATCGAAGCTCGACTACTTCTCTGAAACCCTTGAACAAAGAACATCATAGAGCCTTCTCTGAGGCCTATGTAACTCTCAAACAGTCTCCCCATAATCGAGACTTGACTCATTTCTCTGGAGCCCTCGAACAAAATACACCCTTTGTTTGACACTTGAATCACTTTTGACTACACCTTCGAGGCTAGCAACTTCTTTGTTCGATACTTGAGGATTCTATTGACATGACTAAGTTAAGGGCATGGCTCTAATACCATAGTAGGAATCACGAACCTCTACAATGGTATGATATTCTCCGAGCATAGGCTCTCATGGCTTTGTTTTTGGTTCCCCAAAAGGCCTCATACCAATGAAGATCTATTCCTTACTTATAAACCCATGATCAACCCGTTAATCAACCGGTTAATTAGCCAATGTGGAACTCCCTCGGAACCATCCTCAACAATTGTGTTCCTTAAAAGAGGTAAAAACCCATCCATCAAGTATTCATGAAAGGGTAGAATATCAAGAAAAATTAACGAGATGTGATGGTGATGATATTATACGTACAACTAGATAGGCAAGAACTCTGCACCATATCAGAACTGTATATATCCTTTTGCTCTGATAAACAAATGGGTGAAATGTCCACTGTAAGATAACAGTATATGTAGACAAATAAGCCTCTCTACAACGTCAAATCATTAACATAACAGTAACATAATCGTTAGTAAGAACAAAGCTATACTACTTACCAGCACAAAAGAAAAAAATATGAGGGAGAAAACAGTCTCGCTAACATAAGCTTTGTCTTCACCGAGCTCCTATGGAAGAATCAAAGAAAGAAAACTTAACCAAAGTTTTAAATTGAAATTTTAAGGGTTTGATCCTAAAATAGCACTCACTTGAAGAAGAAAGTATCCAGTATCCTGGAGTGTTGGCCCGGGCCGGTGCAAATAATGAATTCCTTGAGCAGCCACACCATGGATATACTGCAAACCAGAATCCATCAATTAAGAAATGCATACAAGAAACAAGGACTGTATATAGGTCATGCTTTTCGGAACAAAGATTATAATTCATACAAACTACAACTTATTGCTTTGCTGAAGTTTCAGTGCGATCCTTTATTCAGGTCCAACAAATTTGCCATCGAAACGTCCTCTGTGTGGATTATTCAAAATAACCATTTGTAAATGTTGAAAGAAACAGAAACAATTCTTTGTCATCCATAATTAGGTAATGGCTAATATCATTACACTTCCATTGAAGCTCCAAACGATTAGTTCAGAACTTGAATTTGAAAATCACAATGGAATAGCTATTACAAACCCCAATTCTGAAACCACAACGTAGACAAACTAATTAAACAAGCAAATTAGCACCACCAAATTCTCGAACGATCTGAGCTAATATAGATTAAAAAAATTGTATTCAATTTATCGAAATCATTAGGATAGTAAATCATTTTCTGGTGATATTGAAAAGAGGATAGCGCCCTGAGATCTTTCTTAAAAGAGTTTCAAAAACATTCGAAGCGAAGGAATTAGCAAAATAACAAATCAGAAATCAAACCGGACAAAGAATGAGAGAAATCGAACCTGAAAAACAACGCCAGCAAGGATATATTTCCAGCTTCCGGCAAGAAGCGAAACTTCTATGGACGCTTCGACGCACATTTTTCTCCATAGCTTCACAAAATTTGAAAGAATCAACCATCAAAAAGAAAGAAAGAACGAAACAAATCAAAAGCGAAGAACGATAAAGACAATATACGAGAGGGGAACCTTAGAGGCTTCTCGAGCAAGGTGAACTGTCATTGTTGAAATCAAAATTAAAGCTCGTCATCAAAGAAATCACAACAGAAACGCTGAACGGAAGAAGAAAGAAGCGGTGAAACCAATCCGAATCAAGATATGGAACACAGCACCGTGATTCGAGCAGAAAGAAAAACAACAAGAATTCGAAATCAAAGCCATGATTCTGAAATATTTTTAAAATTTAAACAATGCGGATTTTCATCCAATGTGAATCCAAATCCCGTGAAACTCTCCTCTGTCTCTGTCTCCGTCTCCGTCTCTCAAACGACAAGGTGAGAGGCGCCATTGGAGAAGAAAATTTGAAACAGGTGGGAGAAGGATAGAGGTCCGGTGGAGAAGAAAGCGGAGCTGCTCAGATTGTTGCAGTTTTGAGAAGATGGGCCATGGGAATCAGTCGAACGCAGAATCAAGCAAATCAATAGTATTTTTATTTTTTAATTATATTAATAATAAATTAGATTTTGTCTCCAAAGAAATGCTGACGTATTAATTTATAATAAAATGTTTTTTAGAAAACTAAAAAAAAACGTTTTTAAATTTGTTTTTTCAAAATTATATGAAATAAAAGTCAGATGTTAGACTGTTATTAAAAAAAATAGAATAAAAAATTAACAAATTATCTAATTAAATTGTAATGATCTCTAAAACTTTAATTTCTCTCTCTAATAAACTTGACGCATGCTAAATTGTTAATAATAATATGATTATTTAGTTACAATTAATTAACTTTTTAAGTAATGTTTAAGCTTTAATTTTATTAACTTCAAATACTAAGATAATTAGGTCATCAACTAAAATATCTTCTAATAAATGTTTAATATTTTTTTTTAATTAAGAAATTTCTCAGATAATGGTCTAAATTTGGTTATTTATTAAATAATTTTTGACAATTTTTCACATTCAAATCCAAATGTTCAATCATTCAGCCAGAAATTTCAACGTACTTCACATCCGTTTTCTTTTCTGCCGCCTTCGGAACAGTCACAGTGAGAACTCCGTTCTCCATGGATGCCCTAATCCCCTCCATTTTTGCATCCTCCGGCAGCCTGAATCTTCTCTGGAACGTTCCACAGCTACGCTCAATCCGATGCCAGGTCTCGTTCTTGTTCTCTTTCTCTACTCTCCTTTCGCCGCTGATCTGAAGTACTTTACCGTCTTCAATCTCCACTTTCACTTCCCCTTTCTTCAATCCAGGCAGATCGGCTTTCATTACATGAGCCTCTGGCGTCTCCTTCCAGTCAACATGAGTGTTCATCAGAGCCGAAGTTTCTCGAGAAATTTCAGGAACTTGAGTTAAAATTGAAGAAGGAAAATGAAAATCGAATGGATCTGAGAGATCGAAAGTGGCAAAAGGATCGTAAATGTTGCTCCGTCGGCCACCGAAAAAGCTTGGAATCATCGACATCTCCCGAGTTCTGAGGTATACTTGAACGGGTGACTGTAATTGAGAGTTGGAAGAGCTTCGATTGAATACAAACGAATAGTATTAGAGAATCTTTAGTTTGAAGTTTCTGATTGGCGAAGATTGGGAAAGAGCTGAGAATTTATAGTGATTTGGTGAACATTCTGGTTTTCTCTGGAAATTTTCTCTTCCAGAAAATCTTCGCCTCCAATCATCCAAGAAACTTCTAGGCTTCCAGACAATTATGCTGGAATATGAGTTTGGGCCTAATCCAATTTCAAAACCCAAGCCCAGAAGAACGTTAGCGACTAGGTGTTTCACCACGAGAACTCTGAATCATTCTCGAGAAGCACCTTATCTAAAGCTCATTCATACATTATCCAAACCGCAAGGGATCTTGGAAGGTCCTAGAAGCTTGAATTTGGTTTCCATATCAAGCCACCTGTTCCCTTCTTTAAATCACTTCCTATTACCTTCTACTCCGTTCTACTCTACTTCCGATTAATTTCTAGTACATTCTCGCCAACGATGTCGATCATTCCAATCGGCGGCCAAGACGGCCGTATTTCCAACGGTTCCTCTTCAAGCATCCTCAATCGCTTCCCGAAATTCCCCTTCCCTCTGGACTTATGGCACGATTTCCCTTTCCCTTCTTCAATCTCGCACGCCTTTCCGGACTTCGCTTTTGGAGGCTCCGTCAACACTCGTCTCGATTGGACCGAGACGCCGAACGCTCATGTTCTGAGAGCCTCCCTTCCGGGCTTCCAAGGAGAAGACGTTCTCGTCGAGCTTCAGGATGATCGGATGCTTCAGATCAGCACCGATAGTGGCGGCTTTGTAAGTAGATTCAAGATTCCGGAGAGCGGGAAGATCGAGGAGTTGAGTGCGTTTATGGATTTTGGAGTTCTCACTGTGTTTGTTCCTAAAGAAGACGATCAGAGCAGACGCGATGTTCGAGTGGTGGAGATCACCGGCGAGTAGATGAAGATCTTCATCTTTGTACAATTGAATGCTCTGTTTAGGATAAGAATCTGTTTGTGGTGAACTTGTAGTGCGTTTTTGGTTTGAACTTTGGAAGTCGGTTTGCTCACAACCTGTTCGATGAAATGCTTTTGTGGTTCTATTGTAATGTATGCTTCTGGTTGTCTAAGCTATGTGAGAATGTTAATAGTTCAAATACTGGTGTTAATGAAATTCGGTGCCTCTGTTCTACATTGATGAACTTGAACAGAGGATTGAAGAACTGGAAATCTAAGAAACTTACTTGGATGATCAAAATGAGCTCAATAAGCTAACAAGATCTTTCAAGTGTGTGCGTGAGGAGAACTGATCTTCTTCTACCTTGACATGGGCTTCAATTTTCTCCTTGAAATGCTTGGCTCTGTCTCTAATCTCTCTGCCCTGTTCTTCATCCATAAGTCTTTTAATCCCATTTTCAATCTCTCCTCTCTCCAACCCATTTTCCAGCTGCAGCCCAACCCTCCAAACATGGCTCAAATACCTTGCATTCACTTTCTGGTCCCCAAAACATGGACTGCACAGCATAGGAACTCCCTCGCTCAAGCTCTCCATACTTGAGTTCCATCCACAATGGCTCCAAAATCCCCCCACAGCCCTATGTGCCAACACTTCCTTCTGGGGTGCCCATTTCACAACACATCCTCTTCCTCCGACCGCCTCTCGAAAACCATCTGGTAAGGCCTCGATCCACTTCGAGCCACGAACTGCACCTGGTTGAACCACCCACAAGAACGGCTGCTGACTGTTGGCAAGCCCCCATGCCATTTCTCCCAATTCCTTCTCACCCAATGAAGCTATGCTTCCAATGGCTACGTAAACGACCGAGCCGTTGGCTTGCTCGTCGAGCCATTGCAAGCAGTTGAAGTCCTCATTGAGCACACTGGTTCTCGCAGAGGCTATTCTGTGTAGAGGGCCAATGAAGAAGAGTGGGACTGTGGTGGATTTGCTTTTGATTTGGGCTACTATTGATTCTTCGAGCCATTCCATTGTGTTCCAAATGATGGCTTCGGCTTTGATAGGTGTTTCCAGATTGTACATTCCTTTAACCAGTGTTGGGTATTTGGTGAAGCCTGTTGTTAATGAAATTGGCAGATCTTTGAATCTCAGAGGATGCAGCTCCGGCGCTGGATTCTGTAACATACATTCTGTGATGTGGATTTAGTTTTCCATTAATATTATTATTATATGTTTTTTAAATAGTAATAATTTTATTTTCTCTATTCATAAAATTTGAAGCAAATCAACGTCTTACCTTTCAAAGGAAAGTAGCCTTCGTCGTTGAGGCGAACCAGAGCCATCCGAGCAAGAGAAGCCGCAGCACAGGTAGTCCTCAGAATGAAGCTTCTCACCTTCAAATCACTCAAAATTTCTTCACAAAAGTACATCACTTCATCGTAAATTACGCCCGCCACGACCTCCTCCCCCGCTCCTCCGCCGCCGCCGCCGATCAATCTGCGCATTTGATCTTCGAAACTTGCTCTGCAATTAACGTTGAGATCCAAAAGCACGGCGATCAGATCGACTGGAATAGCTTCGTGCTTTGGAATTCCGTCGTCTAAATAAAGGAATTGAAAAAACGGATAGTTAGAAGGATCGGGGGAGTTGAAGCGAGTATGAGCGATTGTGATGGAGAAGCCGCCATTGTTGTGGAGGAAGGTGCCGAGTTGAAGCATTGGAGTTATGTGGCCCTGGTATGGACATGGAACCAGGACCAGACGCCGTCGTTTCGGGCTCTGCGTTTGTTCCTCCATCGCGATAGTTTGGGGATGAAGAGGACGCGAAGGTTGTGGGAACCGAGCACGACGATCCAGTAAAATCCTCGATTCCCCAGACTAAATTGTTTAAAATATACAATAATATCTTTAATTTTTTATTTTTAAATATCTTAAAAACTTAATTTAAAAAATAATAAATTAAATAGTTATTCATTTAAAATTTTACTAAGAATCATTTAGCGAATATAAAAATTATTGTAAAGTAATATTTTCAATTCACGTGCGTTCTGCATTTCCAGATTTGTTTGTCGGGAAGTCTTATAGTTTTTTTCAATATTTGGCTTCCCGGCCTAATTATTCACTTATATTATCACGTTGTATATATTATAATTTTTAATTAACATTTTATTTGAAAATTTTTAAATACTAATTATTGTTTTTTTTTTATTCCTTTTTCTCGAATATATATATATTTTATTGTGGATAACTTATTTGCGAGATCTTGGAAACGAAATAACAGAGTAAAGAAAATGTCATGATCTACCTTAAGAGGTACAATTTAGACGTAAATGCAACCACACTAGCTTCAATTCCATGTTCCTCCACAACCTTAATCCTTATGGCTTGAGTATTTTAAGAACTACTCATTAAGTTAGGGTCGAAAAATGCATGCACGAACAATCATGGTGAGACCTATCCTTTCATAAAAACATTTCACAACCTTGAACTTTACTCTCTAATTCATACCCATGACCCACACATGCTTGTATGGACCCATTAGGTGGGTATACGTGCCCCTGGACCTACCTTAGTTAGGGCACTCACGACGCTACCGATCTTTTAAGTCACAAGAAGAAGACCTATCTTCCTTTAAACTATCTTCAATTCTTCTCTTGAAATCCATAGCTCTTTCCTTCATCTTCCTCCCTTCTTCTTCCACCATCACTCTTCTAATAACCTTTTCCACTTCCTTCCTATCCAACTCACCTTCCAAAGTCAACCCCACTCCCCCACACACAGCTAATATACCTAGCATTCACTCTCTGATCCCCTGAAAACGCCCTACACAGCAATGGAACACCCTCACTCAAGCTCTCAAGCGTAGAATTCCACCCACAATGGCTCCAAAACCCACCAACGCCTCCATGACCCAACACTTCCTTTTGAGGAGCCCATTGCACAATGCACCCTCTATCTCCAACCTTCTCTTCAACCTCTTTCAAAACAAGCTCGATCGCATCCGACCCACGAACCGACCCTGGTCGAACCACCCACAAGAATGGCTGGTTGCTATTCACCAACCCCCAACCCATCTCTTCCACCTCTTCCTTTGTTAATAAGGCTACGCTTCCCAAGCTGACATAGATGACTGATTTGGGAGGTTGTTTGTCGAGCCATGAGAGGCAGGTGGAGTCCTCTTTGAGCAAGCTTGAGGAGGAGGAGGTTGGGGAAATCTTGTGGATTGGGGCGATTGGGAAGATGGGTATTTGGCAAAATTTGGCCTTGATTTGGTTGAGCTCAGATGGCTCGAGCCATGGCATTGTGTTCCAAATCACAGCTGAAGATGTGTTAATGGCATACATGTTGGGGATTATTTGAGTGAGTTCGGTGATATCTGAAACGGCCGAGAGCGCGGCAAATCTTTGAATCTCAATGGTTCAAGATTTGGAACCTCCTCTTCCAATGACTCTGTTCATCCTCCAAAATTATCTCAATTATCAAACCTGCGGCTTATTTATAGTTTAATCGTAGTAAAATTACATACATACGTAATAGATGGTTATATGTGTTCCTGTGGAAATATATTTTTTACATTTTTAGCTGTTCCAAATCACACCTTTAGCTGTGGTTATAGTGTACATATTAATAACTAGCTCGTGGAACTTGGTGAAATCTGAAGTCGCCGGAAGTGGCAAGTCCTTTAATCTCAAGGGATGAAGCTCCGCCGGTATCTCCTCCTCAAACCCGGCGGCGTGAAGGTTCAGAACCGCACACCGGCTGACGCAAGTAGCGGCGCTTGTGGTCCGCAACACCAAACTCCTAACCCCAAAACGGCTGGCTACACCTTCACAATAATACATAAGCTCATCGTGTATTATACACACGACCTCACTTGATTCCTCCCCATCTCCTCCAGCCATAGCCGCCATTGCCTCCTCCAAGCTCCCCTTGCAATTCTCGTTGATGGCTAGCAAGACTGACGCCAGATCCCATGAGGACACGTGGTCGGCGGTGATACTGTCGTTGAGGGGGAGGAAGGTGAACTCCGGGTGACGATAGGGGTGGGGAGAGTTGAAGAATGTGTGGGCTATGGTTATTGAGAAGCCGTTTTGGTGAAGGAATGTGGCTAGATGAAGCATTGGGTTTATGTGGCCTTGGTATGGACATGGCACCATCAGTAAACGGCGGCGTTTCACCCGTGAGCTCTCCATAATTTGATGGAGAATGATGGAAGGGTAGGTTGATAGTTATAAACTAATGAAACTAGTTAGGTTTTTTTTTTTTTTTTCCCACGTGTTTCATGTTCTTCTGACATGTCTCTGTCACCAAAATATGTCCACGTGTTCATATTCAATTTTTTGGATAAAATATATTTTTAGTCTCTAAAATTTGAACTTAATATCTACTTTAATTAAAATTTTGATAAAGTTACAAAACCGTTCTAAAAGACGATTCGGTTATTTAGCTCAGTAATAACTATGTACTTAATATACTTTCAATTTGTCTCGTTGGCAAGTTAAAGTTGCTTAAACGACCGATCTCCTATCAAAAAAGGAAAATAAACAATGACTAGCGGTTGTTTAAGTATTACAGTAAGTTTAAATCACCTCCATATGAAACCTGTTCTTTATTGATCTAGTTATCATTTTTGTTCTTATTCTAATAAAATAATAATACGACCTCTATCGTACTTTGGACCAGCCATATGTATTATTTATTGAATTATAATGTGATTAAATTTTTTATTATAGGGTCGCAAACATTTTTTTTTTATTTGGGTAATTATCAATTTTATTTTATGATTTAAGATTAATTTTTTAAAATTGTTTTCAGATTGTGGAATTTCTGAAAAAAATAATTTTTTTTATTTTATATATTTTCGAAATATTTGATTTTGAATTTAAAATTTTACTCGGGATAACTACATTTAAAAAGATGAATTTAAAAACACGTGCGCACATGTGGAATTCACTATTGAGTGCATATGAAATTAAAATGTGTTAGAGAAGTATTTCTTTGTCGTGTCTCACTTTTTGGAAATTAATGTATTATTAAATTAATATGCTTTTTATTTATTTATTTTTCTTACAAACAAATGAGAACCACTTAAATAAAAAAAAAAAACAACTATTATCATTTTATTTTTATTATTATTATTATTATTATTTTCAATTTTGAATTTAAACGAGAGATATTACATTTTTTCACGATAAAATTTTTGAACTTAACAAAAATACTCTCATCATCACCGGTAAAAATTAGATTGACAACATATAAACTAACGATCAAATTTACCTTTATCTTCTGTTTATATGAATAAGATATGGTCACAATTGTACTTGTGACACTCGAGTAAAGGAACGCTATATAAATAAACTGATACCACATTTAAATGAAAAGGATCCTAAGTATAGGATAACTAAGAAATCTTAAAAGAATTAAAATTTATTGTCTATATCAATAAGGTGCACCTTCCTTGTAGTGGCTCGATCATAAAATCTCTGTGGTTAAGCAGATTTATATTGGTATGTAGAGATGGTATGCACTAACTTCTTCTTGTGATACCATCTCCTCTCATATTTTTCTTCACTTGGATCATGTTTACTTCTAACTTATATCAAATCCAGCTTCAGCATTACTTCTCCCCTCAATCCTAACATTTATTTTTTTAAAAAAAATCAAATGTCTTCGTGGACATTGGATTATAGAGTCTATATGTTTTAGACTCTTTACTCATTCCTAACGGCTCACACTGAAATTATTTACTATTTGAAACGTGAACATGACCCATACATTCAAAAACTAAACAATAAACAACATTAGATTTTATGTCACTCCAAGCTTTTTCAGGAGTTATATCTTTCACTACCACTTACCACTCTGTCGAGCTGTCATGGGTGGTCCAATTTACTTCTTCTAGCCAGATATTTTTTGAAATTTGTTCCAATAATAATATACTTCTAACCATGTTTATGATTGTTTTATCCTCATGCTCAACTACTCCATTTTGTGAGAAAGTAAGTTGCCTGCTAATACTATTAGTTTTATAAAAAAAAATATTGAACTCGTGAGAGATGAATTCTCCACACCTCTCAATTTGGGGAAAATCTTCCATTTCTTTTGGAACAAGATTTTTATAATTGTTGAAGATAGTACAGACTTCCGATTTTTCAGCAAGAAATATATCCACACCTTACTGCCATAATCATTGATAAAACTTATGAAGTATCTCTTGGAAAGAGATTTAGTGGGTACCTCGTGCATAATTACAAAACAATTATTTGTAGGTAACAACGTTAATCGATGCCTCAGTTAGGCCGGAAAAGAAATTTATGGTGGGATAATTATGAAATTAATATACAAAATTGTACCCAACATACGAAAAAATGGCCAAATATATATATATATGATTCCAAACTTCCACCCTATTAACAATTAAGTGGTGGTATATCAGACATATTCAAATTTAGGTCAATTTTGGATCTATTAAAAACCCGGCTCCCATAAACCAAGAACCCGACCGAATACCCGGCCACCGCCGCAAGCAGGACTCCGACATTGAATGACATGACGGCCAGCATGACGACAAAAGCCAACCCCACCCGGACGCCATACAGGGCGGTCTGAACAAAGCCGGCGAAGACGTCATCGGCGACAGAGGCGGTGAGTTTAGTGTGCGACAGCCACTCCACGGCGAAGGCGACGAGAAAGATGAAGACTAAGGCGATGGCGTAAGAGAGTGAGCTCCGGCCAGGCCAGCCGGCGAATAGAATCTCCGCCGACTTTCCCCAGAAAAATGTCATGTGGAATTCCATTTTTCTTGGGAAAATGGATCTTTGTTTTTCCTTCTTTTTCTCGGAAGCCAATCAAATAACGAAGCTGGATTGTACTACCAGCTAAGCTCCTGAGTGTACTACAAGTTAGCTCGTACTAAAGTTTATTTACATTATTCAATAATAACAATAATAATAATAATAATATAAGGTGATTATTAATTTTTAAATTTTTTAAATTTCATGGATGATTTTAGATATGGATAGATTTTGTGAGATCCCACAAATAAAAGAGAAACAAAACATTCTTAATGTGGAAATCTATCCTTAATAAACATGTTTTAAAAACATTGTGGGAGAACAATATCGGTTAGTGGTGTACTTAAGCCATTACAAATGATACCAAGCCAAGCACTAAGCAGTGTACCAGTGAGAACGTTTTGGTCCTTAAGGGAGTAGATTGTGAGATCCACCAGCCAGAACGCTAGGCTCTCAAAGAGGTGAATTATGAGATCCCACATCGATTCAAGAGGAAAACAAAACATTCCATAAAAGATAATATCTACTTGTAGTGAGTTTAGGCTATTACAGATTTATTATTAAATTTCATATTTATTCACATAATTGCTTAATTCGAGCATCATTCCAAAACTCTAATAGGTTAGAGTTTATACGAACTTTAGTCAAAACGTTGAGACGTACATTAGGTTTCTAAGTCTCGATAGCTCTAACATATCAAAATTTGGACAAACTTTGGACCAAACATCGAGATATGATAAGAAAAAAACTAACTTTGAATTTCTAATCCTCTGTAGTTCTAACGGGTCGACATTTGGACGAACTTTGGTCTAAACATCAAAAGATGAACTTTCAACTCGTAAAGGGAACAAATTAATCACTAAAAACTATGAACCAAAACATCAAAAAAATCGAGCCTTTTAGTTATCCACTTCTCTCGAGTGTCATAGTTTAATTATATAAATCATGAATGTTATGTCGTGAGAAGGAAAGTAACTATGATGAGAGCTTATGTTCAAAGTGGACAATATCATATCATTGTGGGAAGTCGTGTTCGTCTAACAACATGAATATTAATGATAATGTTATTCTGCACGAAAAATATTTTGTGTTGCATCATGAAATATATAAAGACAGGTTCATTTCCTATAGATAAAATTTGACTCCGTGAAAGTGATGCATGTCTAATAACTTTAGATACATAAAAGTGATGTAAGTAAGATTGATACGTGATACACGTCTATGAATCTAATGTATATCTAGAGAGGCTTTAAGTTCCATAAATGTGATAGGTAGAGGGTTTGGTGAACAGAAAAGTAACGTACACATACATTTTTAAGAGAGAGAAAAAAAACTCTTACAATTAGTTTGGGATATAAATTGATAGTAATTTATTTCAAAAATATATATTTCATAAATACGTTTGAACTTTAAAAGTTTCATTAATATCATTTAATATTTTATTGTTAAATTTTAAAAATAGTATTAACATATTTTACTTTTATAAAAAGATAATAATAATAACAAATATACGACGAAAACATCTCATAATTATCTTTAAACTTTTTAAGTTATTCTTGAAAGTTCATACAACTTATTTGAAACGTGATACGAACAAAAAAAAAATATTTTAAATTTAAAAAAAATTAAAATATTTTTAAAGTTTTTAAAAAAATTTAAGAATATTAATGAAAATTTGGTAATTTTTTTTTTAAAAAAATATTAACAGTTTTGATCCTCTAAATTTAACGGTAAGGATATTTTTTTAACTTTATTATAAAAAAATTTAAGAATATTTTTTTATAGATAAAATATGAAGTTAAAAGTTATTTTTATTAATTTAGGTTAATTTATACTATATGATTTAATTCACAAATCTCCTTAGTGGTCAATTTGAATTCAATAACTAAAGTGATTACTTTCCAAATAATGAACACTACTTAGTGGTGACTTATTAACCACGTGTGTTTTATTTTTATGTGTAGTACACACTAAATCCAAAATTGCAACATGTAGTACCATAAAAAAAAAACACACAAGTAGTACAATCAATGATCTCAATTTAGTATGAGTTTTCTTCCAAAGTGTTATTTGTTTGTTGTTTTTGAAGTCTCTCGGGTGTCTACGTGTAACAATCTAAACTAACTGCTAGCAGATATTATCCTATTTGTGTTTCCCCTTAAGGTTTTAAAACACGTCCATTAGGGAGAAGTTTTCATACCCTTATAAGGAATGTTTCGTTCCCCTCTCTAATAGATGTGAGATCTCACAATTCACCCTCTTTGGGGTTCAGTGTCCTTGCTAACGCACTGCCCGATATCTTACTCTAATACCATTTATAATAGCTTAAGCGTACTTCTAACATATATTATCTGCTTTGGCTTGTTACGTATTGTCGTCAACCTCACGGTTTTAAAACGCATCAACTAGGGAGAGGGGAATGAAACATTCCTGATAAGGGTGTGGAAACCACTCCCTAGTATACGTGTTTTAAAACTGTGAGACTAACAACAATATGTAATGGATCATAATGGATAATATCTACTAGAGGTGACCTCAGACTGTTACACTACTATAAATTCGATCAATCAAGAGAATTCTTTTTTTTTTTTTTTTTATCTTCATCTATTACAAGAAGGGCATCAACAACTCAATTTGCTCACTAAACTTCTTGGGGATGCACGAGGTTTAGTAAAAAGGAAATTATAACTCTCATACTAGTAATTTCGCTCGTGGAAGCCTCTCGAAAGAATGAGAGAATTTTAGCTACAAACGGGGTTCCTATATGGCTCAACCCTTATTTGAACGGACTTAGAAATAATTTCTACCTTACTTAAAATAAATATAATTTATTATATAATAAAAATATCTACAAGCGTCTAAAAATTACCTATAAACTTTAAAAAAAATTAATAATACATTAACCTTAAAAAAAAAACAAAAAATGTTTTTAAAATACGTATTTTTTTTTTCAAAAGTACTCTTTAACTTTTAATAGTGTTTCAAAAACACCCCTAAATTTTAAAAAGTTTCATTAATACCCTTCAAAAATTTTAAAAAGTTCAAAAATATTCTAAAAAATACTTATGAAATTTGAAAAGTAACATTAAAACCCTTTAATTTTATTTAAAAAAATCTCAATATATATAGACAAAAACTATCTATCGACACTTCATAGATTATCTCTAAATTTTTTAATGTTATTTTTGAAAATTTATGAATATTTTCGAAACATGATACTAACCGTTAATGTATTTTTAACTTTTTAAATAAAATCAAAAGGTATTTTTGAAGATTTTAAAGGTGGGTTTAAAGTTAAAAAAAAATAAAATAAAAGTAATAATGAAATTTTTGAAAAAAAATATATTTTTAAAAACCTTTTAAAGTTAAGTGACATTTTTAGGATTTTTTAAAATTAAGTATTCTTGAAATAAAGTATAGAATTTAAAAATATTTTTATTAATTTTGTCGTTAATTTAAATCTCACTTAAATTTTAAATATATTTAATATTTTAATATTTAATGTATCCAATATAAAAAATATGTTTTTTTTTAATTTAATTTAAATTCTTCCAATACTAAACATGTATGTATATATATAATTTATTAATTAAAAAAAATCAACCAAATTGAGCTAGCTCAAAGTGTAATATTAATTAATTAATTTTCATTTATTAATGATAGGTCTTAGGTTGAATTCTCACGTACGCTACGTATGTCAATGAATATAATAAATATAGACCGTTCAATCACTTACGAATTGTTTAAATTAATACTATAATGAATTATATCTTCGCAATTGAGTAAAAAAAAAATGTTTTACCCTTGTAATTATATATTTCACCTTCTATATTACTGTAATTAAGTTATTCTCAGTCGAGTGAGAGAGATTTATTTATGATTTAACTCGGATAAATTAAGTTTATTTATGATTTATTTAGAATTTACCTCCAATTACGTCTAAAATAATCAAAGTTACTAATAAAAATTAAATAATTAATTACGATTTGGCATTACTTGCATCCACGTGTATGTCGAAGTACATTAATAAAATAATAATTTGATAAGAAACTAACGTTTTTCCTAAATTATCTCATTATTTAAAAAATAAAAAATGATTGTATTTCATGTTTTCAAATTTAAAAAACTGGATCTAAAATTTAAAAGATTAAATACATTATTTATATAAAATAATGATTTTTTAAAAATACATAAATAAATCCAAATAGGTACATATGGATACTGATAGACCGCCACTACACTGAATGAGGGCTTCTGCTCATACAAGTCGCAACGAGTGTGCGAACGGGTTGATTAAATCCTGAAAGAGACTGCGTTCTTATCAGTTATCTGAAACCAACCGGACTCGTTGGTACCACACACGATTTTTAGTCTCCGGAGCTGCCATGAACGCTACCGACGAGACTCACCACCACCATATGCATGGTATGGCGCCGCCGCCGGCCTCTTCCGCCGCGTCGCCGGGGATGACGATGCATCACCGGATGATGCACATGACCTTCTTTTGGGGAACCAACGCTGAGATTCTGTTCCGTAACTGGCCTGGAGACCGCTCCGGTATGTACGCCTTGGCCTTGATCCTCATTTTCGTGCTTGCTTTCATCGTCGAGTGGCTTTCGCATAGCCGATTGATTAAGGAAGATTCTAGCGCCGCAGCGGCTGGTTTGATCCGGACTCTGATGCATACGGTTAGGGTTGGATTGGCGTATTTAGTGATGCTTGCGGTTATGTCGTTCAATGTTGGAGTGTTTTTGGTCGCAATCGGTGGTCATTGCCTCGGATTCTTCTTCTTTGGGAGTAGATTTTTCAAGAATTCAGGCGCGGCTTCTGGTAAATCCTCTGATCTTCCTCCTCTTAGTTGTTGAAATCGATGCTGAAGGAATGTGGAAATCTGCAATTGAATTGTGAAATTATCTGATCTAAACTGTTGTTGTCGAGTCGTGTTGAGTTGAATTCGTGCTGATGAATTTTTCGATTTCGATTTGGCTGATTCGATTTGCAATTTTGAAAGTTCAAAACCGAAATTTGTTTTCTGGAATTCTTGCAGCTTATGTGAAGTTATAACAGAAGGGAAATTGATAATTTGGAATGCTTGGATTCAGATTCCGGGATAATTCGTTAGTAATTTTCTTCTTCTTCACAGTAATATTTCATCGTTCTTCATTTGGATTCTCTTTTTTTTTTTTTTTTTTTTTTTTTTTTTTTTTTTTTTTTTTTTTCCTTTGTAATTGTAAGGAAGAACTCAGAAGATATTCATCCTGCTTACTGAGATTTGAGGTTTTATTTTATTTTTTTTTCATATTTTTATAATTAGCCTTAATTTTTCTTGCCTTTTCAAAATTTAAAAAATTTGAATTATATTTTGAAAATATACATTTATTATTATTATTTTTTTCATTTTCCCCCCTTTTAATTATTTTGGTTGAATTAATAAATTATCAAAGAAAATTGTGAAATTCAAATCTCTATTACATCCGTGAACATATGTTTTGTTTTCTACTGCAAATTTAGATAACGTGCAAGCTGCCGATTTTCTTTTTCTTTTTCCAATGATTAATTTATTCTTTATTTAAATACTACTTTATTCTCATATTTTAGTATTAATTTATTTTGTTGTCTCTATTTAAAAAAAAAACATTTTTGGTTTTCATTATTTGTAAAATTTAGCTTAAACTTTTAATTACGTAGGGACCAAAATTGACAACAAAAAATAATAATAAAAGTATATTGAGAAACATTGATGTTTTATTACAAAGACCATAGTGTTAAAATTTTATTATTTTATTTTTAAATATTGAATTTTAAAAAAGAAAGCTATAAATTTACTCCTTTTTTTTTTGTTTGAACGGTTGAAATAAATTTAGAAAATTAGAATGTTGCGTCAGCATCAACAAGAGTAGCCAATTATACGGGAACACGTGGATATGGAAAGTCAAGATAGGGTTTAGAGACGGTTGCCCTTTCTTTACTGCATTAATTGAATTGAAATTAGCTTATGAATTTTGCAATACAATAAATATTTAATAATTGCATGGGTGAAATTTATACTCAAATCAACCAATTTGATTACATTTGATATGACTTTTCAAATAGCTTAGATTATTAATATCATTAAGTCAAGTTTTGATATTTTCAAAATTACCTATATATTTTTTATTTTTAAAACTTAGTTTGAAATTTAATGGTGTTACAAAATGATGTATTAATAATCTGTTTTTTTATCGGATTTATTTTGTTTTAGAGAAAATCAATAATTGTGTAATAATTTTCAGTAAAATTCTATTAAAATATTTTCAATTCAGACCAGGTTACTAATTTAACATTTTCGATTATGATAATTTAATGGTAACCCAAATTTAAGATTTTATTATTACTCTAATTAAAGTGTTATATTCTTTCTATTGGCAACTGAAGTCATTTCTTTCGATGTTCTTCCTTTACACAAATCCTCAAATGTATAGATACGATAAACTTACCTTTCTCTTTTTGCTATAATGGTGACGATTGAGCATGATATCCAATAGAGACATGTTATTCGATCAACTAATGCCCATTATTTAAAGCTATTCTTCAATATATGGTTGTAAATAAGTATTCACACAAAGAAAATTGGACCTCACACTCACTTTCTCACATCTTTCTCTCGAAGGATATGATGTCACTCGTGTTTACGCTCATAGATATAAGACTTGCTTTTTAAACATGTCTACGTGTTACCTCACAATCACTCTGGTAATAGGTAACCAAATAAAAGTTTGTGACGTCAACTATTTTTAGAATGAGTTCTTAAACAAAAAATGTTTCTAAAAGCTTAAGAACTCAAAATAGAAAAATCACATTTTTATTTCTCAAAACTAGAAACAAGAAACAATCGACAAAAGACAATAACTCGATCACGCAAGCTATTATTATATTAGTGTATTAGTGTGATTATTAGAGTTTAATCTTAAAATTTTCACCTTCTTGAAGATAGCTCGATTAAATTAATGGTTTAAGGTTTGTTTTTGTTGGCTTTAAAATGAAGCCCTTATTGGTCTAATTGAACGTTCATGCATAAACAAGCACAATAAAGAAATCAAAAGGTAACATTTTTTTTTTTTTTTCAAATTCATATCACCTGTAACACTCCATACTCAGGATTCGGATAAAAGATTCAGATCTAGACATGAAACATTACCAATGGTATCAGAGTTAGAGACTGTGTAGTGTGTCAATAAGGATGGTAGACCTCCAAAAAGTAGAATGAGAGATCTCACATCGATTGGAGAGAGGAACGAAACTTATTTTGTTTTCATTATTTATTTTAATTTATTCAACTAAATGTCAACTTCTTGACATAAAATAGCAAATGGATAAAGAAATTGGAAATAAGAAATAAGACCAATAATAATATAATGTAAAATTAAATAAAATAAAAATTAATTAATTAAAGTAATCCTTTTACTTAAACTAAAAATCTATGATTATTAATACTTTAATTTAATCTCTCAATTAATTATTTTTTTATTGGTGAAATAATGTTATAAAATATAGAAAAAGTCTTACAAATAATAATAATAGTAACAATAATAATAATAATATTAAAAGGCATGAAACATGCGATTTCATCTCTACCTTATCATGGTCAACCATCCTAACCACTTTTTAAATTTGAGTCGAACCTAAATAATAATATATTTAAATTTAGAGTTTTATTTGTTCAAATTTTAATTTCGGCGTGTTTTAATTATTGTTTAGACATTCAAAAGAAAATTATTCGTTTTTATCGTTTTAGTTCATGATGTTAAGTACGATTTGTTACCTTCGGTTCATGATGTTAAGTCTTTCGTGACTAGTGTCATAGTCATGCTTGTCTAAGGCGTGTTGCCCATGTCCGCATGCTCATGCTACATTGAATCTTTTATTTTATTTCATGTTGTATTGACTTGTTATTGTATTTTGTGTTTGTTTGATCGTTCGGTAAAATCATGTTTAGGTCTAATAGACTTGAATCGCCCCAAAATGTATTATAGAGGATGTGACTAGTTGTCAACTCTTCCCCTAATTTTGTATAACCATTAGGCAAAATCACGTCTAGGCCAGCTATACATGAATCGCTTCAAAATATATTATAGGGGATGCAACTAGTTATCAGATTCTCCCTACCCATAAAAGTTATATGCTAATTAATTTGATGTGTTGCCTTGTTTGTATGTCGTATAACATTGCTTTCAATCTCTCTTCATCTTACTTTCAAACTCTCTTTGTCCTCGTTTTCTAAAATCTTCTCCTCAAATCGGGGCCAAAAGCTTGAGCATACATTGTCCAGCCAGACAACACAAATTCAAATTGACTTGGACTCACTTGCGAGTATTACACAATCGCAAAATCTACTGTCAAGAAAAGTGTGATTGTAACATCTAGCACCAATAGGCCTACATGGGGTCCAAATCGATGTTACCAATTTTTGTAGCGGGTGCCAGAGAGGTTATTAAGCCTAGTCAAGCAACATAAAAATAAAAATAAAAATAAAAATGAAATATATTTTTATATATTTATTAAATTTCATTGACCATAAATTTTAAAAACTAATTATATATATAAATTTGTACTACATATAAAATATAGTACAACTACCATTAGTACAGTCATATATAAATTTAAAAAAAAAAAAAAATTAGCTATAAAATTGAGTGAAGATTATCATTTTTCACAAAGTCAACAAACAAACAGATTGGCAAAATGAAGAACACAACAAAAATCTTAATTCTCTGTCTTGTAATTTCTCTGTCTGTCTCATCCAAAGCCAACGCCCACGATGTTTTTCCCAACCACGACGGTATGCACTCCGACCCTCCGCCGCCGCCGATGGGTCCGATGAGCGGCGGCTCCGACGACGACATGCACTCTCACGGGATGCCGTCGTCATCGGGCATGACGATGATGCACATGACATTCTTCTGGGGGAAAAACACCCAAGTTTTATTCTCCGGCTGGCCGGGCAACCAGTCCGGCATGTATGCGCTGGCGTTGATATTAGTGTTTTTGCTGGCGGTGTCTGTAGAGTGGCTGTCTCGTTGGCGGCTGATGACGGAGATGGGGCCGAGAAATTTCGCCGCTGGGATCGTGCAGACGGCGGTGCATGGGGTTAGAATTGGAATTGCGTACATGGTTATGCTTGCTTTGATGTCGTTCAACGGCGGCGTTTTTATCGCTGCCATCGCCGGTCATTCATTTGGGTTTCTGATTTTTGGGAGCAGAGTCACGAAGAACACGAAATCAAAGCCGTACGATCCGGGTACGGCAGATCTTCCATCTGGGGTTTGCTGACCAAGTAAATTAAGTCTTTCTTCGAATGATCTATCTAGTGGTTCATCGTGTACCCTCTTTTACTCTGGATGTATGAGATTTAAACCTCAAATATTTATTTTTAATTAAAAAAATGGAAAATATGGATGGTAAAAAGTAAAAAGAAATTAACTTATATGAAGTAAATCTTTTATATTTCAAAATCTAACAATATAATCTCACTCGTAGCCATGACCTGATGGGCTTGGGCCTGATATTTTGTTCAGTGAAAGGCCCAAAGAGAGAGCACAGAAACATAACCTACAATAAGCCTAAAAGTCATCTTCCCTCGGATGTTTACTTTAAGGCAAGTTGGGGAAAGGCTTGAACCACTGAAATGGGGAAATGGTTGAAACAAGTGGGTGGATGGGTGGGGTGGCCACTTGCGGAAGCCATTAATTAGGTGTTCCTGTCGATTGGGTTCAAAACAAAACGAAAAAGGTAAGAAGAAGGATCTCTCTCACTCTCTGTTTTTGTTGACCAAGAGATGAGAGATGCTAGCGGGGGGCTGCCAACAACTTGAGCGCGCCATGCCCCCAAACTGTTTGATAAAATGCCTCAATGACATTGTTGAGCTAAGCCACTAGCCAGTAGTGTGGCTTTTCTTGTCTTGTCTTTCTATATTGTCTTTGTCTTTACAGCTGACTCAGAGAGTTGAAGAAGATGACAGATTTTGTTGGCCCAATGATCTGAACAAGATCTTGACAAGATTATGTTGGGATTAGAGGATGTGAATTTAAAATACGCAAAAACTAGACGCTTCTTTTCTGAAGCTCGACCTCCCTAGCTTTGTCTTTGTCTTTTGCTCCAAGAAGGAGGAATATCTGTAACTGCCTAAGGCCTAATTCCACCACTAACAGATATTATTTTCCTTACGTTTTCTCTTTCGGGCTTACTTTAAGTTTTTAAAACGCTTCTGTTAGGAAAAGGTTTTCACACCCTTATA